CGCGGGTCGCCGCACGCCGCGAACAGCACCTGCAGTACAATACTCAAACATTTACTACTGAAATCATAACTGAATGCAGATCTTTGCTAAAAATGGGTGCTTAGTATAGATAGATGAAAATCTTTATTTACTGAAAATATTACTCTTAACACAATACTAGCTTACGCCCGCATAAATAATAAAAATTATATATGTGTTCTTTTGACTATCCACTACATTTGCCAATTTTCATCGAGATCCGTTCAGCAGTTTTAGCTACAAACTCAAAGATCAATCCATTTAAACTTTTGGATCATAAGTTTAGTAAGAAATAAGATTTAAAAGACTTATCTATACTATTAAAATAAAGTGTAAACACACACTTCTTTGTTGCCTAAGATGTCAGCAATTACAGCATATTTTTGAATAGTTCTTTTTTTAATAAAGAGCCCTACACTTACGTCACGCTTTAGGCTATATATTTTTACGCCATTAAACTTAGGGGGTAAATATTTTTCATAAAAATCCTAATGTGGGAAGAGACCATAAGTTGCTGTCAACATTAAGACAGCGATTGTTACTTGTGCATTTGAATTTTGACATTTCATGCGGATAAAGCCCCACTGAAACAGCTATTGTATAATAAAATAAATTTTATGCAATATGGGGTTTCATTACAGATGTATTGCGTGAAAGGTGACATGATGACAGATGACGTATGTTAGTGATTTGGAAGAAGACCTGTTGCGCCGACCTTACCGAAGTAGGATAAGGGGGAAGATGGAAAGGTATATTTATGGCCACCACCACCCTTGGCCCTACCGACCCTCGGGTCATATAGGCTGAATCGCGAGAGGGGTAAGGTATATTGAGCGTGTCACCTGGTGCGAGTCGTGCAGCACGTGGCGCAGGCAGTGGCGCGCGGCGGGCAGCGCGGCGGAGGCGCAGCGCACGCCGCCCTCGCTGAAGGTGCAGCGCGCCGCCGCCGGCACGCCGCCCCCCGCCCGCGCCCACGCACCCTCCTTCACCTACATAGAAATATTATTATTATATTAATAAAGAAAAAAGATTTGTTTTTGTCCGATTTTACTTATGTAACAAGATATTTCTTTGGTTTTTAATTTCAAGCGTACAAAGCATGCAACAATTAGTATACTAATAAAACGTAAACATGTAAGATGTCAACAATCACAGCATATTATTGAATAATAATTAAAAAATGTTTACGTCACGCTACACACACTTCACAATTTTAAACATATGGAGTAAATAAATTGTCATGCAAAAGGAACAAAAATTAGCCAATAGCAGCGAAGAAACAAGATATTTCTTTAAACATTACGATAGTGTGTTAACCTTGGCTCGTTTAATATAGGAAAAAAGTGTATTTATCTATACATGTTTGTAAAAAATTGTGTATAGAATTAAAGCTAAATAAATTAAAAAAAAAATATGTACCTTGGCCCGTTTCCTGTGTAGTTTCCTGGCGAGCACCGCGTGCACGCCGTGCTGGCAGTGGTAGCCCGCGTACGCCTTCAGCTGGCGCAGCTGCCGCCGCTCGCGCGCGCTCGTCGCCACGCGCGCCTGCGCGCTGATGCTGCCTGCAACATACACAATACTGACACACCGGAAATAACTACGATACCAACATTCCGTACAAATCTTACTAATATTATAAATGCGAAAGTTTAGATGTATGTTTGTTAGGATTTGTAGCATAAACTGGTGAACGGATATCGACGAAATGTGGCATAGATGTAAAGGAAGATTTTTTTTAATCCCACGCGAACGAAGTTGCGGGCGAAAGCTAAATACTAACTTGCTCGCGGTTTAGTTAGCGTTAAATTTAAAAAACGTATATGTTATTCACAAATAACGTACCTTTTTATTTAAAGAATTTTTGAATTTAACTTAGCAGTTTTTGAGTTATTCCAATGCATACAAAAATAAAAATTATTCCTTTTACAATATTAGTATAGTTAAAGGAATAAAATTTAATTTTACTCCTTACATTAATAATTTTACTAATAATAAACGCAAAAAGTTGAATATAATTTACGTAATTTAATTATAAGTTTTTACATTGAAGTGACATCGTCGCGAATGTGATGAATGAAATGTGACAATTGACGTCACGTGTCTCAAGCCAACTCCGGCGCGTTTTAGTCGAACGAAAATTATCGTAATTTCATTTTATTACTTTTAGCTTAATGGTTGAATATTTTTGACCCAATGTTTTCTTCTGGTTATCTTATAAAAAGTAGAAATATTTAAAAAAAAAAAGAAAAAAAATACAAATTTCGTATTGCTGATGTGTATGGGCAGCGGTCGTTCCGCTTGGCAGATTTAGATGGCCGCTTGCCCGTTTGCCACGTTATTGTGTAAAACTCACAGTACTGTTCCCGCTCAGCGTGGAGCGCAGTG